ATATTCAGATGGCAATACATTTGGTAAGCATAAACTTATTGTACTTCCTGTATCTAAGTAAGCATGAAATTTAATTCTACAATAATTTTTTATATTGAGTGTAATTTCAATATATGGACTCATGGGATTAGTACTTATTATTCTTTCCATGATAACAATGATTTCATATTTTCATCTATTTTTGGAATGATAATTGGATTATCGTCAACTGTTATTTTCAAATATCCTTGACAAATTTTGTAAGGACTATATTTTTCAAGAAAGTTCATTCCTAATAGAATAGGTGAACGATCTACTCCATATAATTCATCTTTATATAGAATTATTTCATTAGTATATTCTTTCTGGTCCTCTCCTACAAGTATAAGAGGAAATTTAACATATTTTCTTATTTCAAGATTATTTCCTAAATAATCCTTAAATATATATGGTTCCGGTATTTCAAAATCTATTAGATGGTTAACAAACTTGGCATTTACATGACTTTTATCTGCTCCAGTATCTATAAGGACAAGAAGATTTTTCTTAAATCCTTCTTGGTTTACATATCTTGTCTTAATGGAATATTGTGAACTTGATGGTTCATTAATACTCAAATTCTTAAGTCTGCTTATCCTAAAGTCTTGTCTAGAGGGAAATCTTGCAATAAGATTGTCTCCTTCTAAGCTGACACTATTTCTTCTTATTAATTTTCCTTCAGAGTTAATTTCTCTAGCTTGTTCATGGAAATCAAGTATTATTTGTTCTGGTATCGTTACTTCATGTTCTTGATATTTCCTAGGAGGTACGTATTGTGCTAATTCCTCAAAATCTTCATGTATGATTATGTTATCAGTTATTTTCCTTAAATTGTGATGATGGCTAGTACTAAAAGCAAAAATTGATTTTATACTTATACTAATAGCCTTACTTCTTCGTAACATCTTTAAGTTTCCAATTCTATAGTATAGATTGAAACTTTGGTCAATAATTTCATCACTTAATGATATTGCATAATTTGGTTTTACTGTAAATATTATCTTTTGATAGACTAAATTTCCTACAACTGTTCCTAATAGAGCATCTATAGGATCTTGTAAGATTCTATTGTCCATACAGTATATTTCTATTGGTATATTCATACCTTCTCTAAAGAATCCTTTTACCATTGTCTGGACTCCTCCTAATTCAATACATTTTAATTTGTTCCTTACATTTTCTGGGATTTTGGATAGTTTTTGTTTTACCCATTCTTTTGTGATTATAGGAATTCTTGCTTTTCCTATAGTATCTTCTATGTTGATAGATATTTCTCTATAATTCATACTTACAATTGTTTTATTTACCCTTGGTAAAATTCCTAAAAATCCTTGATGGAATACATCTTTTTCCTGTAGATCTAATATCTTCTTAGTAATTCCTGCGTATTTTTTAATGTCAAAATAATTTCTTGATTAATACCTTCTATCGAATCTTCAACTTCTTCAGTTGTTTCTATTTCTATTTCTGATTGTTGTATCTCCTGATTCATATATACTATTTCCTCATAATCTTCTTCTGATGAAGATGTATATAATTCATAAATACTACTACATTCACTACTTAAATCTTCAAAATATTCAATTGGTTCTATATCACTATCTTCTTGAAATTTTTCGTAAATTCTAAGAGTTTTTATATTTTGTTTATCTTTCTTTTTAGGACATTGAGGGGCAATATGTCCTTCTTCATTACAAATAAAACATCTACATTTTTTAATGTTTCTTGGTTTAAATTTCTTATTCCAATTTCTTTTCTTGAAATATTTTTTATATGGTTTAAAATTCCTTTTATTGAATTTTTTATAGTTTTTGAACTTCCTTTTATATTTCTTATATGGTTTATATTTCTTCTTATGGCATCCAAATTGTTCAACTTGGCCATTATCTTTATAACAACATAATGAATTCTTTCTTATTTTATAAGCTTTCTTATTTTCTAATGCTTCTTTGCACCACATTTCTATCATTCTTCTTGTAAATTCAATTCTTCTTCCAAGACTATCTATTTCAACTCCTTCCTCTTTTCCTCTAAGATCTTTATCTAATAAAGCATTTCCTATTTGTAGATTATGTTCTAGGTTTTCTAATCTTTTATGTATATCTCCAAAATTTTCATTTGTGGTATTTTTAGGCAAATAAGGATAACTAGGTTTTTTATGTTTTTCAACTTTTTTCAAAAATTCTTCAATTATATTCTCTTCATCTACTATATTCATCATGGTTTTTAGTTCGTAACATGGCTCTGATACCATTTCGTCGGAGTGTGCAGCGGAGGGGTTAATATTTTTGAGCCAATTAAATTCTTCATAAATATTTAAAATATCACAATAGAATTTATAAAATTCACTATTTTTTACCAATATTTTTTCTTGAATAATTATATTTAATTCTTTAATTCTTCTTCTTAAATTAAGAATTAATTTATATATATCTTTTTCCATTTTGATTGCTTCATCATCTATGGAATCATTTTTATTTTTTAGTTTTGGGTCTAAATATTCTATAAAAAAGTCTTTCAGATCTTCTTCCAAATAGGTTAATTCATTTTTTGTAGCATTTTTTAAGTCAATAAAATTTTGTATAGTATTTGGATCTAAATTTATTAAAGATTTATGATCTATATTTTCTTGAGGACCTATTTGAAGGTTTTTAGATATTGTAGTGGCTTTGGTTGCAATTTCTCTATTAAGGATATTTTTGGAAAATTGATTGTTTGGAGACTAATTTTCAAATGTTTTTATTTCTTAGACTAATTTGGAAAATCCTGGTTCTATTTAGGCTATTAAACTGTATTTCTCCCTAAACAGGTATTATTGAAAGTTTTGTTAACTGACAGTATTCTATTCCCGTAGTCGTAAATGAAGAAGATTTGTCAGTGTGTGCACAACGCCGTCAAAACACAGAGTCACATACATATCACTTTATACGGTTGAAATTAGGGATAGAGAAAAGAAAAAGTAATAACGGAAAAAGAATGCAATTGTAATCAATACCAACATTGCACGCTCTTTGGTTCTGATATCATCTCTCTCTCTCTTTCTTTTTTTTTACCCCTTCAAAATCTCCAATTTGGTGAGGCTTGCTTAAAAATAATAGTTGCAAGTAGTGTATACTTTTTTTTGTTTTGTTTTGTTTTTGGGAGTTGAAGGGTTGGGTANTTTTTTTACGGAATTTGAAACTTGAAATAGTTTGATGTTCTTTTTATTTGCTATCGGAGTAAATCCGATGAAGTTAAAGAAGAGGGAAACTTCATTAACTTGGCAGGATTATTGTGTAGATAAATTATAGTGGAGTGAGACTTAGATCTACTTGATTACGTAAATTGTTTTTATCTGGAAGTACACGGCAAATTATCTAATGCTGTATCAGTCACCATCTTCTCAGTATATTTGTTTGGTTGCTAAAATAGTTCGGGAGGAGGAATTGTGAATTGTACCCATATCTTGGATTCTATTTTCGAATTATAGTCCTTTGATGAGCTAAAAGTTTAAAGACTAGAAAATTCACTGCTGCATTTTAGGATCTCAGCTTTGATACTAATTGAGTATTGCTAAGAGCTCGGGTCATGCCCATTTCTGTGCCTTTCTTTTAATTACCTCAACTTTCTGGCCTTTTTAATAGATCCCTACTGTTTTAAGGTTTTCTTCTGAGTTGCTTTAAAGAAATCACAACTCTATAAACCAGAAAGGAAATTATTGAAATTTATAGAAGAGAGCAAGCGAAACCAGACTTGCCCTGCCTCTTACAACTTAATGCGAAAAACCCCTCAATTGAAGTTGCACTTTTTTAATTTTAGTAGGAGTAATGATCTTTTTATACCTTTTACATTTCTATTCACAAAGTAGGTTCTTAAATTCATTGAAATCTTATGTTATTTACAGATTTTTAAATGTGTTCATTTTTTTTTGTTTCTTCACTGATTCATTGACGCTTACAACTTAAAGTGCTCAAGCTGACACATAGGCTGACAGAGACAAAGACCTTGATATTAATTTAACCCTTTTTAAGCACTGAACACGTGCAATCACTACTTAATGTAGTTGGACTTAAAAGCTTGAGTTTACCTTTCCAGATAGTATCTTGTCTTGTCAAGCACTTGTATAGTTGTATTTTGCATAGGTGTCTTGTCACTCGTTTCAATTATAGAGCCAATGAAAATTCTCCATCGTCAAAATCAATTAAAAGGCCATAACGGCCAAGACCTGAAGAGATCAATCTCGGGCTTAGAAATCTTTCCATATACCAACCAAAAGATAAATAAATGAAAATTATCCGGAGTGTTTCATATCATAGACTTTTGAATACAATCTAGTTTTCTGTAAATAATCTGCAGAATGCTGCATGTGGTAGAAAGGTAGTGTTTCCAATAACCATCCTTTAAGAAGATATAATGCATTTTACTTTCAAATAGATAACCCCAAGAGAAATTTTGGCTAAGATATTGCTCCATGAAACAAAAAGCATGCATCGCTATTTACTTTTTCGTATAGTTGGACTTGGAGGCTTGTATTCTATTTTCCAGATTGTATTATGTCTTGGCAAAGACACTTCCATATTGTAACTGTGGTAGCATAACAACACTAAAATCATGAAGCTTTGATAAGATCTATATAAATTATTTGGAGAATTTCATAGTCTTTTGTAATAACAATGTCACTCTACCATTTACATTTGTTGAATACTGAAATGGAACAATTGTTCAAGAGATTACACATTTTCCCTGCTTCCCATCATATGTTTCTGTGTTGATATTTACAATATTATATGGATCTTTTTCCATTTAACTAACTCATTCGAAATATTTGGTGGCAAAGGGCCATATAACCAACTTGTTCTGCCCAATCTTATCTGCTTGTGGTTGCTATTGTTGGTTTACATGAAATTTGTTGAAATATATATGAGAGATCTGATTCTATTCTACCTGGTGGAACTGTTCTACTCAATACTTCTATCCTGGGCAGCAGACTTGGTCTTTGATGTATGGAATGCAAAATAAGTATTTTACTTTCTGCTGTTTGTGTTACTTGCCAAAAAAATTTCTGAAAGCAAAACCCAAACCCAAACTTGCCTTCTCTTATTCCTACCTGGCATGGTCTTTGGGAACCTTGACAAGATGCACGGTCTTTGGAAACCTTGACAAGATTTTTGTTAATATGTTAGGTACAGTGGAGTATCATTGAGATGGAAAGCTGCTTCAGAAACAATTACCCTGAAAAGAGAACATATGGATAGGAAGATAGCTGCATCACAAATAATTATCCTGAACGGATCAGATACAAGTACATTAATACTCATCAGACTCACTTATGGCATCTTTTGGCCTAGGACATGGAGGAGCTGGTAGTTCAAGATCTTCTAATGGTTTCAAGGGATCATCTAGTTCAGTTGATTGGCTTGGAAAGGAGATGCTAGAAATGAGATTGAGGGACAGAATGGACCCTGATGATGATAGAGTAAGCTTTTGAGTGGCTATCAATCTATCTCCTAACCATTTATTACCGCTTTTGTTGTCGTGAAGTAGCTGTTATAGTGACTAGTTTCTGTACTAATTTAAGCATTTTAGTCTTGTGATTGGGTAATATTATAATTTTTCCCCCCACCGCCAACAAACTTATCCTCGTTCCCAGTACATTTAGGATCAACTCTGAAAATATTTTGTGGCCACTTCATTCGGTTATTGCTATTGGAAGATCTAAAGTAACTAGGTCCTTAACAACTGCCACATGCCATGTTCGTTTTGGTCTTCCCTCTCTTCTGATATGTTTTTACTGAGATCTCGTCACTTTTATGAACGGGAGCTTCTTTTGGGAAACTTACAAAACCACCTAAGCTGTCCTAATTTTTTCCTCAATTGACAGTACCACCACTTAGTGGCCTGTATTCTTTTTTCTTATTTTTATCTATTTTAGTACAAGTATGTATCCATCTTAACATCATCTTTTTCTTCTGTATTCATAATTTCATCTTATGGACATTTGTCATTTTACCACCCAACACTCGCACGTTATTTCACATAGGATGCCTAGTTTGTGATGACCTTGTTTTAGTTATTTTACTTACCACAAGACATCTTTCATGATGCAGGATAGTAGTGAATCTGATATACTTGATGTTGTGGGTGCTGAAGCAGGACATATCATTAGCATGCCTAGTTTAGGATGAACTTGTGTTGTTATTTCACTTACCATAAGACACCTTTCATGATGCAGGATAGTGAACCTGATATAATTGATGGTGTGGGTGCTGAAACAGGACATGTCATTAGGACCACAACTGGTGGCCGAAATGGTCAACCAAAGCAGGTCGGTGGTTGCTAATCTGTAGTACTACAACTTCAGATGGTGTGCACGATCTTTATTTTGCATTTCGTTGCGATGAATTTTATTTGGATTCACAGGCCGTCAGTTACATAGCAGAACATGTTGTTGGGACTGGTTCCTTTGGAGTAGTTGTGCAAGTAAGCACTGCGGACTCTAGTTTGAGATTTAAACACACGTTTTGCATTATTTTATATATTTTTAGCTATTCAAACTGTTTACAACAGGCAAAATGCCAAGAGACTGGAGAAATTGTTGCTATCAAGAAGGTTCTTCAAGACAAACGCTACAAGAATAGGGAGTTGCAGATTATGCAAATGTTGGACCATCCTAACATTGTGGCCCTAAAGCATTCTTTTTTTTCAACAACAGACAAGGAAGAGATACATCTGAATCTTGTTCTTGAATACGTTCCTGACACTGTTAATCGTATTGCAAGGCAATACAGCAGGATGAACCAACGAATGCCATTGATATATGTCAAATTATATACTTATCAGGCATGTACAGGATTTGATTGTTTATTCAATTTTTTATTTAGTTATAAATCTGCATATACACTATGCTATCTATGCATTGTCTTTCCTTGATCACATTTTTCCACTAATTAAATGCCTTGATATGTTAAGTACCCAGAGTTGTCGTCCCTCTATTCTTGTGTGGGTGTGCATGCACTCACATGATTGGATAGAGGGTGATAAATTTGATATATAGGATATAATGTTAGTGGATCTTATCAATTCTATGATGCAGTTGTCAGCACATCATTTTATCATATTAATTTCTCATACAAAGGCATTTGAACCAAAGTTGAATTTGTTGCAGAGTGCGGTTTAGTTTTCCTTGATTATTCTGGTATCATTTGTTTACATTCTCATTTGTAATGTCTGCTTCAGTAAAACTACTTTACCTCTAACTGAACTGTTTGTGATTGTCTGACATACTCAGATACATTTCGCATATTTAATTTTTACAACTTCAGTCTCCACTTGAGGTGGAATAAATTTTACTCCAGTTATGATGTTATGGCAAGCTAAAAACAAGAAGAGGATCGTGTATTAAGCATTTAAACTAACAGTTGTTTAATATCAGGATTTTGTTGTGCTTTTCCATTACATTCATCAATGAAAATTGTAAATGGATGCTTGGATAAGCCAAAAAACCATTGTTCTACATGTTTATGCATAATCTTGGAAGAAATTGTCTATTAGTTATAGAACATTCTAATATGAATGAGTGATTGATGAATAAGTTCTTGGACACTGGGAAAACAGATCTGCACATCCTAATTATTCCTTTTTGGCTCTCCTATTCCCATTCTGCTACCCTGTTTATCTAAAATATGTCCTGATACAATGAGATGCTGGTCTGAAATATCTTACCGTAAGTATAATCCTTTTAGCTGGTTGGACTAGAAATTTACTGAAAATATTAAATTTTGATCTGATTGTACTATTTTAACTTTTCACCATTCTATTTGCATTTCATTTATAATAAATTCCTTTACCTGGGTGCAGATATGCAGGGCACTTGCTTATATACATAATTGTATTGGTATTTGTCACCGTGACATCAAGCCTCAGAATTTACTTGTAAGATTTTTCTGTTTCAATCACCGAAGTTTTGAATATTTAGATCAAATCGTGTGAAATTTGATGCTAATTTAACTTTTGGGTCTGTAGTGGTCAACGTCTATTATAGCCCAAGCACCTTGTTTAAGTTCCTTCTGAACAGAAACCACGGAATACCGTGTCTGCACGCACTAACATACTTAACACGCTTTTATGGTAGAGAAAACAGCCAAACAGCTAAAGTCCTGCTTCTTTATATAGGAGTTGGTGTAAATACAACCGCAAACGAACATAACTCGTACATTTGCTAGTTGAAAAAGAAAAAAAGTTCTTTAATGTTACAATATTAAGATGAAAAAGACATAATTTTTGGTATAATTCAATGCATCTGAAAGGTTGTGTCATTAAGGATTATCTTGTGAAATAGTGCAATAGATACTAGTTACTTTTATGCTATAACTTCTTGACTCAGTTGGCTATTTACAAAGTCAGTCACACTTGAGGAGAGTCATATTTTTATTTCCTGGTTATTTCAATCAAATATGTCTGGGAAGTGCACTATAGGATACTTTTGGACCATTTATGGTTTTCTGAATGTTGTAAAGAAACATTTCCAAGAACCTAAAATGGAGCGTCTTCATTTATTCACTGGTACTTAAAATTTTGATTGAGAAAATGAAGATTGTCAATGACTGCTGGTAGGGAATTGCTTCCCTGCCGATTTGGAATCAAAAAATGTTTTTCAATGGTCACATATGAGATCTCTTATGTTGTAACGCCCCGAATTCTAATAACCCGAAACGTTACGAAACATGAATATACCTTGAAATAAACAGTTTTAATATAAGGAGAAATTCTGTAAAAGATTGAATAA